ATATGCTGACTCTGTAAACCGCTTAGAGAGAGGCTGAAAGCCCTATGAAGCGGTATATAAGTCTAACTGCTATTGCTATATTCTGGATCAAAGAGATAATTCTCATCACTTTGAGAAATGTGAGCTGTTGTTCTGAAAAAATTAAAGACTTTTAACGCCCTACTGTAAAAGGAGAGTTGGCTTTCTCTAATAAAATTCCAGACACATCCAAAGTTACTTAGCTATTGGGAATCTTTTTGAATAATGTAAGAATAATGTAATATTCTGACATCATCCATTATTTCTATTTTTGTAGAAGCCCAAATGTCTGAATGCAATTTTAATAACATTAAACTTATCTATAAAGGCAATGATTGTTTCTAGATTTAGGCTGCCAATTTGGGGCAGAGGTTCTCACCGCTTGGAGGCTGGGGATACACATAACATGTTTTGAGAGGATAGCAGCTTTGACGCAAAATGCCTGGATCCATAACATTCTCTTTTTCCCCTTTGAGTTTGGGGAAATTGTTTGGGAGAATTCTTTATTTTTAAAAATGATGTTAAGCTGAGTTTAGGACTTAGACTATAGATTCCATGTGTTTCTTGCCTCATCATGTGGAAAAACACAGGCCAATTATTTATTACTGAAATGAAATTGCAAAAATTGAGATTTCACCCTCTGTGCAGTCCTGGCTTCAGTATGCCCACATATTTGGAAAAGAAATTCAGTTATTGGCCTCCCAGAATATAACATACATTCCCGCTTATCTTCCTTTTATTGCACTTCTTCATACTGCTGATTTACTTACTCTTGACAGTTGCTATTAGAGCTGAAAACACATTTCTGCAAGCTGTCCAGAGTCATGAGGCTGATGTCTTTAAACATGTCAAGAGAAACGGGGCCTGCTGAGATCAGCTTCTGCCACTTGGCCTGTAAGAAGATGGATAACAAATACATCAAATCCAGAAAAGGAAGAAAGTGATACCAGGGTTAGGGGGGGTGGCCCAGATCTGGCACAAGGCCAAGGCGGATGTGATTCAGGATGAGCAAAGGGCTATGCAAATCCCTGGGGGATAAACCAAGGAGAGAGAATATGGATATTTCTTATCTGCATAGTGAACATTTTAGAGAAGGTAGATAGAACAGAGAGGTGGAGAACTATGCACATTTATTTCACTTAGCACATGACATCTACAGAAGCCATTCAATCACTGATAATGATTGTGTTATTCATTAAGCCATGTCCGACTCTTAGCAGTTATCTGGCCATCTCTCTCCACATCATGTATATATGTTTACATAAAGCATCAGCAAATACATATACGTAAAGTATGTGTACAATAAATGAAATAAAATATTGATAAAACCATGATAAAATTGCCCTAATATGGCACCATAGAGTCTCAATAGGATAGAGCAGTGTTTCTCAACCTTGGCAACTTGAAGATGTCTGGACTTCAAGTCCCAGGATTCTCCGGCCAGCATTCGCTGGCTGGGGAATTCTGGGTCTTGAAGTCGAGACATCATCGAGCTGCTCTGGTTGAGACACACTGCTCTANCAATGCAAAATCATTTCAATAAAATAATTATTGTTTATATTCTGCTAATCATGGCCTATGTTTAGGACACTTTCTCCTGAGCACTATATGGATCAAAAATGGAAATGAAAGTGGAAGTTTCCTGTCACTGGATTAATTGTGATGTAGTCATGCCTTTGGTAGACAACTGAAATAATGGGCAGCATTATTTTAGTTTCTGTAGATCTGCTATAAGCATGCTTCATTTTCATTACTTCATTATTTGAGTAAGATTAAAAAATAAGCCCTTTTTCACACTGTCCCTTCACAAAACAATTTGGTCGGCATATGTGGGACTGATTGTGGTAGATTGTAGGGGTGACACTGAAATATAATTTTATCATTTTTTATTTATCCATATATTGTTGTATTTTATTCCAATCTCATTTTAAATTGTATTTTATTCTAATTTCATTTTCAATTGTTTTTATCAGATTTTAGTAATAATTTATGTTTGGAACTCTGCACTTTGATATGGCCCATGGGCCATAAAGTAAATAAAGTAAACTAATTAACCAGCCAACCCTGTCCTTTCAGATATAAAACTGTGCTTAATGTTTCTAGAGCACTTTTGAACAAAAATTCAAATCTGAGATTTCAATTCATACTCTATGATCATGCTTCCTTGTTTCTAGAACAGTGTTTCTCAGCTTTGACAGTTAAAAGATGCATGGACTTCAACTTCCAACATTTTCAAATTAAGTATGCTATACGCCAGGGATGTCTAACCTTTAAGACTTGTGAACTCCCCAGTCAGCATGGGGATTGAAGTCCTCAGGCCTTCAATCTACCAAAACTGGACACCTCAGCTGTAGGCTAAACTATGCTCATTGGGGAATTTTTGGAGATGAAGTCTACATATCTTCAAGTTACTAGGTTAAGAGGCACCACTCTAGAGAATAAGAATGGATGGACCATTTGAATAAATGGTTGCCAGTCATCTCCTAAAGCATCAGTTTGACATTCTTCTGGCTATGCCTGCCATGATGACCAGTATCTTCCAACTTGGATCATGTTGTTTCATTAAGTCCAGTTCAATTCCTGATGTGGTTTTGTTTTCAGGTATTAACAACACCTTGCGCATCCAAAGCAGGGTTGGATTTTTGAAGGTTTATAGACCAATGTCATATTTATTCAGAACTAATTTCCACTGCATAATTAAACTTTTTTCCCACATAAATGTAGCATGGATAATGCTGCAATAAATTGTTTCATTTTAAATCAGAATTGGTAAAGCAGAGCTATGCAACCAGTATACTAGATTATTAACTGCACGTAGTACATGTATTGTTTGTAGGAGGCATTGGAAGAAAAATCAAGTCCAGTTCCAATCTGGGAGAAAGATGCTGAAATAAAATGGAGGCGGGTTTCAGGAAAGAAGATCTCCGTTTATTTGGTAGCCAGAAACTTCAGTGACAGCAGCATGTTTCTGGGGCGGCTGACAAGATGGAGTTGAGAATAGGTGGGCTTTTATACATTCTTTGGGGCTTTGTGATTGAGAAACCTGCTTCTGTTCAAGAATATGTCCCTTAATATTTTAATAGCTGTTGCCAGATTCCTATGGGGTTATGTAGGGGTCATGGCTGGCTCTACGGGCAAAAGGGAAAATGTAAATCCTATGTGTTTTGTTTGTCTGAGCTAATCTTGTCAGCTTTAACTCCTTACACGTTGTGCTGCTTATTTGGAGTTTCTGGCTGCTCTTTCCTTAAAAATAGAGTGGCCCAACTTTCTGAATGGATACAAAATATCCATTCCTAAAGACTACCCTCTTCAGGTTTCTGCTTGAGACAGTTTTCCTATAGCACAGGGATGTCAAACTGGCAGCCCAGGGGCCAGAAGCATCACGGGCAGGCCACACATTCTAGGTCTGCAAAGGGGAAAAATATCATGATACGTCATGTGATGGCAGCATGATGCCCCGAGTTTGACATCCATGCTATAGTAGAAAGACTGGGGCTGCTGTCTGCCTATAAGAAGATGTCTCTCCTCTTCTCTTTCAGGGGAAATATTCTATTCTGCCTCTTTTTAATATTAAGAATAAAGAACATTTTATTCTGGAGAGGGGGGGCTTCCTACAGAGATAAAAACTCTAAAATGATTTTTGGTATTCACATTTAGAACTTTAAAAAAATCACATTTTCTCTTCAGCCGAAATGGTGGAGAACATGATTTAGAAAGGCAGGATAAATGAATAACAATCCTACTACTGATTCTTGCATCTACAATTTTTAGCAGTATAATCTGCTACAATGTGATTAGTTCCTGTGGCAAAAATAAAAAATAAAAGCCTGGTAACCACAAGCAACAATTGATTGTTCAAGAGTTATTATATACCTTGCATTGACGAGGCTGCTGTAGCTCAGACTGCAAACCACTTGAGACAAGTCTAAGCTTTCAACACATTCAGGAGAGATACAGTAGATCTACCCGCAGTTCCTTCTTATGTAAGCTAAATTGAACATTTACATTCAGGGTTGGGATATCTTAGAATATTAGTAATTGAGACAATAATTATTATGCTTTATGCCTTATGATCAGATACAGGCATTGTGGTCAGGATGATATAATGCTGATTCATCTTAGCCAAACACGTCTAAACATTTATGTTAGCCAAGAGAGAGGGGAAAAAACAAAGTCTATAAAGACAAAATCATTACTGCATCAACTGACAACTTAGAATTAACACAAAAATTTGAGCTGCTTGAAGGCCATCAGGTGGTTGAAAACTAGGAAAAGGGAGAAATGGATTTTACCAGTCTTTGAGCCAAGATAGCACTAATTATATTCTTAGATGCACTGAAGATGAATCTCCAGATATGCAAATATGGGTCTTATTGGTCCAGACTTTGGTCAGTTGTAGCAACCCAATGGGTTTCTTCCATGTTCTTCCCTAACCACATTAATTTGCAACCTGCTATTTGTAACTCCCTCCCCGCCCAAAAAAAGCTGAAATGATAGTGAAGACAATAGTTTTAATGTATAAACATTTATACATCAGAAAGTGAAGGGAAAGTGAACAAATCAAAAGAAGTATGGAAAGAGGAACAAATATTTTCCTAACACCAATTCAATCAATCAATATATCTATTAAGTTTTACTTATGTTTGAGAATGAATGTGAATGTTATATACTGTATGTTCCTGGACTTCTTCAAATTTAACAACATCTGTAACATTATATATGTATGTATATGTATATGTATATACACATACACATACACACACACACATATATACATATATACATATATACATATATACATATATACATAATATACAACATATACTACATATAACACACACACACACACACACACACACACACACACACATATAGTGTCACAAACCCTGGTATGCCCCAATTA